TCAGTTTCGAATTTTTCAAAGCTGTTAAATAAACTTTATAAAATAAATTAGGTGAATAAAAAACATCATTTGATTATAACGGAAAATCATCGTTTGTAAAGTGAAAGGCATAGAGCCTATGTGAAATGATCATTGGTTAATTATGAAACCAGCCTATTTCATAATTTGGTTTTCGTTTAATATTAATTTTAGATTTTCTATAAAATGATGTTACAGAGCTCAATAGGTTATATAAAAAATTTTTGGCGACCATTTTGCTTCATTTTCGCATTTCGTTTACTCGCGAAAAATGCAAAGATTTTCGCTTTTGTTCGCGAAATTTCGCTTCAATCTGTTTTGCGAAAAAATGCGAGATTTTGCGAAATAGAAAATGCGAAAATTTCGCGAAAAAAATGGGAATTTTGAAAAAAAAAACCCGAAAATTTCGCTTTATTTCTAAACGCGAAAAAATGCGAAATTTCACGAAAAAGTTTGCGAAATGCGACCGAAAATTTTCGCATTTTTTCGCGAAACTTTCGTTCGGTGGAAACCCTAGCTTGTGATGTTATGAAACCTAAGATAAACTTGAACATTATTTATGTTTAACTCATCACTGTTTATATTTCAAATTTCAAATCGTGATTAAAATTTATTCTTCACGCTTCAGGCATCACGCACAGCCCCCCTCCCTGCCCCCAGCACAGCAGGGGGGGGGGCAACCTTTTATCAAAATGATTCATTCCGTAAAACTAACTGAAATGTCCTAATTAAGGATTCTTTGTTTGTTTTGAATAATGATAGTTTATTCAAAATTCGTAGGAATTCATCTACAGTAAGAGGTTTTAATTTCAAGTAACACTTCCCCCTCCCCCCTCCCCAAACATGCAAATATTAGCATGTTTTGAATTTGTTAATTTGTTAATTTCAAGTAATCTTCCATTTAAAGCTGGATGGGCATCAGGCGCGTACACAGGGGGGGGGCGGTAGTCCTCTTGTCCCCCCTGGGGTTTATGGGCAAAGGTTAAAATCAGGTGTGGTTGGTAAAACATGAGCTGGCCTTCATCTTCAATTTAAAAAATAGTTGAAAATTTTCTCAACTTCAGAGAGTAATACAGAACTATACAGAGGGATTCATCATAATATGTAGTCCTTGAATCGGGACTACAGTAAACTACAAAGGGGAGTAGTCTCAGGAGACTACTCAGGACTTCATAGAGTAATACACAAAGACTTTGCTAATTAGCAAAATCTTTTGAATAACAGCATTATTAAGGCCCTGGGGGGCAAAATTTTGTTTTTGCGCTTCGAGCGAAATCTTGCCCCCCCCCCCTGGCTGAAATCCTGTGTACGCGCCTGATGGGCATGTCCGATTTACAACGGTAACCGTTAAACCTTCATCTGATAAGTAATGTGGAGGATGATGTCGTTTTTATAGGTTCAAAAGTGTTTAATACCGATAAATTCCTCTTCTTCAAAAAATGGACAAGTGACTTTTGTGGAGAAATCACAATTGAAAATAATAAATTTTTAAGGGTTGAACATGGATAACAAATACGAACCCTCAACGTTAAAATTTGCCATTTGTCAGGTCTTAAGGAGCTAGATTAACCTGTACAGTGAAAATACAGCATATTCAAAGCAAAACGAGACAGTACACAGTATTTTATTAGGTTTCCGAATAAATTCTGCGTTGATTAAATGTCGTCATTTAATTTCCCCGTTGATTGGGACACTCTGTATTTGGGTAATCTGTGTTTTAAACTCCCGCTTGCATTTTTCAAATCTTTAAGATCTGCAACTCTGGATTGCGAAAATCCCAGATGTTTGCAATTTTTACTGCCAAATAACTTAATTGTATAATTTATGAGTTAGACTTTGATAAACATATTTTTGGCTTGAATACGCATCAAAAACACAGGTCACATGTTTGTCAAATATAAACAAAAAATGTTGCATGAGAAAACCAAAACCAAAATCTCTTTGAACAAAAATAAGAAAAATATTAAAAATGTTCCCTCCGCAATTTGACCGTGTCAAAAATGAACAAAAATTAAAACCAAAGTCAAAATCCAAACTGTTATCTGAATTTATTTGGTAGAATTTCTTCTTTATTTCAAAAATGTCATCTAAAAACAAATTATGTTTATTGGCCATGACGTTACGTTTTTAAATGCTTGATTTTTGAAAGTATAAAAGAAAACTCCCCTCGAATAATTAAGTCAACTCCCTCATTTTTTTATATTTAGATTTTACCAGTAACTAGGCAAATATGGAATGAATAATCTACATATAAATTTAGCTTATCTGTCTGTCTGTTTGTTTGTTTGTATCCAGTAAACGTCAAAATTGCTAAACCGATCGAGCCCAAATTTTGTGTGGGACCTCACGTGACCCAAGGGGAGATTTATGAATGCTCAAAATTTTAAAAATTTGTGTTTAAAAGTTTTTTATTTTTGTAAAATTTTGAAAATGCGCGAAAAAATATTATTAAATCCGCAAACTTTTTTTGTTTTTGTTTTATACTGAACAAAGAGAAGATGCTCACAGAAAAAGCCACAACTAAAAGTTGAAATAGAAGATTGGTGCAAAGCGCCCTAAAAGTATAAATATAAGTTTATTTTTTATTCCTGTCTATGTAAATTAAAAGATGGTATGCTGGCATAGGTTGAAATAGAATTGAAATCGATATCGACCCCGGCCCCTATCAGTTGTTCTTCTTACAGGGTGTCCCAATAAACGTGAGAAGTGAGTGTCGATTCCGAGATCGTTTTTATGGTATGGATATTACTACTTCTTACATCAAAATAAAGTAAATTGCACAAAAGATTAAAATCTTATAGGGTTTTAATGGCGCTACGCCATTTGCTCTATTTCCATTAGCTCTATGACCATTTTCTCTTGTTCCCTTTGCTTTAGTTCCATTTGCTCTATTAGCCATTTGTTCTATAGCTCATACACCACAACGTTTGTTCTTTATGCCATCTGCTCTATACGTCATTTGCTCTATACATATTTTTATGACTGTCTTGGTCTGTTTTCTCTATTAAACATATGCTCTAGACTAAACATGTCATTTGCTCTATAAACATATTTTATGAATCACACCGGACTAACCAGAGTGAGCAGCATTCGGTTTCTTCTATTTGAAATCAAACGTATTTTGGTCTTTAATTCAATAATTATTTATTTTACGGATTTGTTTATTTTATACATTTTTATTCAAAATGCATATGCCAACAAAAAAGTATTTAAGAAAAAAGGCTAACAAATTATTTTTAATGGGTTAAATTGTGATCGAAAGTCACAGCTTTCTGGAATATTGACAGAACCGTTAAATCCACGTGGAATGTCTTGGTCTATTTGCTCTATGAGTAAACACGTCATTTGCTCTATAAACATGCAATATACAACTATCTTAATGTATTGCTATTCCTAAGTATATCACAATTATATTACTATATCTTCTAAATTCAATGTTTCTTAAAATAGTTTTTTCACCATATATCAGATTTGTCTTATCCTGAGGTCTTATCCCTCTTATTATTTTTTTTTTGATTTTTACTAAGTCAAGTTTGCTCAGGAATTCCTAAAAAGTCTATTCTGTGATTTTTACAAAGTCGAACGACCCTATAGTGCCTTTAAACTGAACATTTCTTTTCTTATATAAAAATTTTAGCCTAAATAAAAAATACTAACGAAGAAGTCTGGTTTTGGACAGCGGAAATACAGTGCAAGAATTCCTATATAGTTTTTTTCATAGTGTCTTATTCGGTTATAGAGCAAACGACGTGTTTAGTCATAGAGCAAATGACATATTAAAGAGCAGATGGCATTTAAAGCAAATGACGGGATAGAGCAAATAGTTCCAGAGAAAATGGCCATCGAGCATACGAAAATAAAGCAATTAAATGTCTTAGCGCAAAACTATAAACTCCTCTAATTAAAAAGCTGTGGGCAAGAATAGAAATGTTTTGAATTTCTCCTGATTTGATTAGCCACTCCTGTATGCCGAGTCCATTGAGCGTCTGATCCAATCAGGGTTCAGTCATGTGTTTGGTGTCTCTTCTGAACTAATAGAAATAGCATGGCGGTAACATCTATCTTTCTATCTATCTCAGTATCCAATTAGAGTTATAAATCCTTGAATCGGCGCTATCAGTAAATGGAAATATTTACTTCTACTGAAACTATGGTGTAGCATCTTCCCTTGCTAAATTTGATTCTTTCATGCTTGTGCATAAAATCAAAACTAGAGGAGCTATCAGGTCACAAAGTCGTATCAGTAATGTCGCATTTTGACCTACTCCCTCTGTTTAGTTCACAGTGTACTAAGAGAACTGTAGTCCATTACTCCGTAGATTGTTTCGTCTAGAGTTTAGACTTTTTGTTTATATTTTGATTGCAAGATGCAAGATAGGTTTGGATGGAAATCAATATCGTTTCTCAAGATAGAATAATGTAATCCAGCCCAGCGTAGGGGATAGAATAAAAAGAACTATTTATTGATCATCACGTAAAATATTTATTGGATTTAGTGTGAAGGCCATATATAACAGCAACTATATTCTTAATATTTCTTTCCATCGCAAAAAATCTTTTCTTTTTATCTTAGATATATGTATAACTAAGCAAAATAATTTAAACTTTTAATTCTGAATGGAAAGAATATTGTTTTGATAGTCTACTAAATTTGTAGTTTAGTGTAACACTAGAAAACCTTTTTGAATAATTTGAAAATTTGAATAATATCAAAATACAAAGGAATTAAGTCTCTGCCAGAAACTCTGATTTTATAATCTTAGATATTTTATGCTTTGAATTCTATAATTTCTATTATATCAAATAATCTAAGTTTTACATATCAAAGGTTTACACCATCAAGATCCAAATATATGGGGATTAGAAAATTTGAGGTTGGGACAAAGACTCAATTCTTTTAGAGCTTAAGCCATCGAAAAAGTAGACATTGTTTCAATGGACCAAATACAATTGATTATTTCCATTTTTGATAAATGATTTAGGACACCCTGCAATGTCTTGCCAAAAAGAGAAGCCGGGGCCCTGGAGGAAGACGACTTCCATCAACTAAAATAAAAAAGGTAAAAAGACGATGTTTAACTATATATTGAGCCACGGCTTAAATTTAAGCCGCGGCTCAAATATGGTTGGTTCCACTTAAAATTGTTACATTTTTCAAGATTTAAGCCGGCGCTCAATTGAAACCGGTTTTGGGGGAATTTAAACGCGGCTTAAATTCATTGCGTTTTTTTCTTTTTTCTAATAATTTCCAAATTAAGTACAGACAGACCGAATATTACACCTTTATTATTTGCATTGATTTTATCAATGTATTTGCTATTTGCAAGAACTGCAAGATAAGAGTAAGTAAAGTTTAACATGCGAATTAAATTCGACATTTTAACATTTCTTTTTTGTATCTAAACTTTTAATATCTGTGTATCTTTTCCCTAGTAATAATTTTAGGGGGACGTCTCCCCCCCCCCCCCGACTAACCAGGGCGAGATCCATTCGGTTTCTTCTATTTTAATTGAATCGCGTTTTCATCGATAACTCAACAATCTTAAAATCTACGGACATGTCATGTTACTTTTTGTTTACAAAGTATATGCCAACAAAAAAAATTATAAATGAGAACAGGCGAAAATATTTAAGTTTAAAAGTTCAAATTGTGATCTGAAGTCAAAGCTTGCTGAGAAAAGGACCGAACATTTAAATCAGCTTGGGGACAATTTTACATGACGGCCCCCCCCCCCCAATTGAGATGGAAACGGTCCTTAAAAAATATCTTTATTTTCATAAAATTAATACATATTGTAGTATAAATATTAAATATGTAATGATATCAAATATATATATTTACACGGCAGGCAGTACTTTTTAAAAAAAGTGAGATTCTAATATATTTATTTTCATGATGTAATCATACTATTTTTCTTCTGTTGCAGATTGAGGAGAACTTGCTGAAAAGATCCAGTGATTCCAACGATAATTTGGTTTTAGATGCGCCAGCAGATAGAAACCTTGATCCGTCCTTAATCTTTGGCAAGGTAATTTATTCCTTGATCCTTTCCATTGATCAACAGCAAGGTAATATATTCCTTGATCCTTTCCATTGATCAACAGCTAGGGTTGGTAACGTTTTGATTTTTGAAAAAAACGATCGTTTCGTTAAGAAAACGTCGAGGAAAATCGAAAAACGAAACGATTGTTTAACGAAGCAAAAAACGATCGTTAAACGATCGTTTTCAAAAACGATTACCAACCCTATCAACAGCTAGGTAATTTATTTCTTGATCCTTTCCATTGATTAATATCAAGGTAATATATTCCTTGAACCTTTACATTGATCAACAGCAAGGTAATTTATTCCTTGATCCTTTCCATTGATTAACAGCAAGGTAATATATTTCTTAATCCTTTTCATTCATTAACATCAAGGTAATATATTCCTTGATCCTTTCTATTGATCAACAGCAAGGTAATATATTCCTTGACCGTCCTTGATCAGCAGCAAGTTAAGGTATCCTTTCCAATGATCAATAGCAAGTAATATATTCCTTTGTCCTTTCCAGCGATCAATAAAAGGTAATATATTCTTTGGTCCGTTCCAATGATCAATAGCAAGGTATAATATTCCTAGATACTTTCCGTTGATCAATAGCAAGGTAATTTATTCCTTTATCCTTTCCATTGATTAACATCAAGGTAATATATTCTTTGATCCTTTCCATTGATTAACATCAAGGTAATATATTCTTTGATCCTTTCCATTGATCAACAGCAAGGTAATATATTCTTTGATCCTTTCCATTGATCAACAGCAAGGTAGTATATTCCTTGATCTTTTCCATTGATCAACAGCTAGGTAATATATTTCTTGGTCAAAAGAAAATATTGAACATTGAAAATATCAACAACTTTTTCTATTTTAAACATTTATTCTTCCAGGATTTGTTAGATGCTGAGGTTCAGGGAAGAGTAAACCATCAAGAATTCGATAAAATTTGGTTTATCAGGTAATAGTAAATAGATTAACAAGTACAATAGGTGGCAACAGAGAACTGGACCAATCATACACGACGTTCAAGTGTCAAATATAAAAAGAAAAACGAAATTTTCTCAAATTAGTTGACAAGTTTTCCAAGATTAAATAAACAGTGTAAAAACAGGAAATAAAGAACACATGAAATTGCACTTATTTTACTGTAAGATAAGCACTTTATTCTAAAATTATCACTATTATTAATAATTTTGTCGGACACAAAAACTGAGTTAACACTTGTGCCGTAAGAATACATCTGCACTGAGAGTAGGGGAAGTCCCTCTATAAATGTAGGATCACTTGAAATTACGATTACAGTTTCTTTTCTACGATTACAAACTATAGGACGCAACTTTTGGATCTTAAACCCCAGGCTTAAGCGCGATGACGGTGCATTGCTCCCTCGACGGTTTAACTTTAGACGTTCCACGATTTTAGGCTTTTAAGTCTTTATCCGTTTAGTTGTTTAGTCGCTTAGTCGTTTATTTGTTTAGTGGTTTAGTCGTTTACTAAACGTAGTTTTGTTTAGGGTTTCAAATGTTTAATTTCTTACTTGTTTAGTTGTTTAGATGTTTAGTTGTTTAGTTGTTTAGTTGTTTAGTTGCTTAGTTGTTCAGTTGTTTAGTTGTTTAATTGTTTTGTCGTTTAGTCGTTTAGTCATTTAGTCATTTAGTTGTTCAAGTGTTTAGTTGTTTAGTTGTTTAGTTGTTTAATTGTTTAGTTGTTTAGCTGTTTAGTTGTTTAGTTGTTTAGTTGTTTAGTTATTTAGTTGTTTAGTTGTTTATCTGTTTAGTTGTTTAGTTGCTTAGTTGTTTAGTTGTTTTGTCGTTTAGTCGTTTAGTCATTTAGTCATTTAGTTATTCAAGTGTTTAGTTGTATAGTTAGTTGTTTAGTTGTTTAGTTGTTTAGTTGTTTAGTTGTTTAGTTGTTTAGTTGTTTTGTCGTTCTGTTGTTTAGGCGTTTAGCAACGAGTTCAGTTGCTGATGCTTAACGCTCTAACGCAAATATGGATTGAAAAAGAAAAAAATAAGATTTAAAAAAAGTTACTTAAATATATACAGTGAAACCCTTAATAACGAATACATCGGAAGAATTTATCAAATGTCGTCTTGACAATTTTTCAATGAGTTTTTTACTATATTACGTAAATTTCAGCATTTGCGAAAATAAATAAATAGTCATGAATATGTGGGAACAGTTTTAAAGAGTTCCATATAATCATTTAATTAAAAAACTAAATATCTGCAACATTCCATTATCAGAAAGTGAAGAATACGACATTTGATGAATTCTTTCGATGTATTCGTTATTAAGGGTTTCACTGTATATATTCTATATTTCAGGGTTCCGTCTATTCAAGATGATTCTAGTCACAACCTTTCATCCTCTCCTCCCCCACCCTCTACCTCATCGTCGAAACCTAACCTCCCAGCTTCTCCAACTACCCTGGAGCCATCCAACCCGCCCAGCCCGTCTCTCCAGGGTAGAACGGAGAATGTTGAAACCGAATCCGACCAAACACAAATGTCTCTGAAAGATTTCAAATCTAGCAGAAAGTTAAGATGGCAGCGCGGGAAATGCACTATTTTGTAAATACATTTTTATATAATATTATATCAAACAGTCGTCTTCGTATATGTATCAATACAAGGAAGACGACTTTCTATTTGAACTTTCTACCAATCTTTCCAACATCAGAGACACATAAACATGTAAGTTGTCAATAAACAGCTATTCCTTGTTTACTTGTAAACTTATAATTTGAATATGCTTGTTCGGAATAAAAGCATTCATAATAAAAAGTCGTCTTCAATGTGTTCATTTAATCGCCGACGATTGTACATAAATCTACCGGTTGATAATAAATGCTCTATTTATATAAATTTTTTTACTTTAAGAAAATTATTATTATTCAAATCTATTTATTGATCAAAATGGTACAGAGCAAATGACAATAAACTTTTTATATATATTATCGATATGTACATTTTGATTTTTATTCGATTTTATAAAATGTGCAGAAGAAAACAACAAGAAATATATCGGTAAATATTAATAAAATAAAAAAAATGAGACGGATAGCGACAATTGCCGAGAGAGATGTTATTGGAGAACCAGCAGTTTTGCACTATTGTTTCTTTTATAGAGTTAAAATCATTTGAAAGAAAAAATACAGTTCTGCAACATCAACATAGAGTTATAGCTTTGCACCATAAAAATAAAACGCCTGCGGATAGAGCTGTAATTGTAGATCCAATAGATTTGCACCATTGTTTCTTTTTAAGGTTAAAATTATTAGAACTAATAAACCCGAAATTCAATTTAAGAAAAAGAAATGAAAGTTTAAAAAAGGACAATTTCAGATAAATTTTTTTAAACTCAAAATTAAGAAAAACTCAAAATTCTGAAGATCTCGAAATTCATTTTAAGCATTAAAATTGGAGGCTTAAATGTCGGAAGAATTCCAATAAATTTGGATTAACTTGAGCTTTTGCTACACTCGGAATTCAATCCAAGAAATAGAAGAGGATAGTTCACCAATATCACATTTTCGTTCTGGAGATCATTGATTGTTAGTTTCTAGCGCTTTGATCTATCTGTCATAGTGCTTTCTCTTCCTGATTTCCCTTTCCTTCCTACTTTAAGAAAATGCCCATCAGATTTTACACAGCTAACAGGGGCGGATACATAGGGGATGTGGGCGGCAGGACCTTCGCAACCCCTGACGGATTCAGGGGGGGTAGCCCCCCCCCTGAGATTTCAGAATAGCTTCTCAATGGCACTTAAAAACATCATCTTAAAAAAAATTGTTGTTCCTAAATCTGGACTTTTTGTTCCGAAATAGTGCTGGCACCCCCCCCTCATTTAAATCTTGTATCCGCCCCTAAACAGCTGTTAATTGTTGTTACAGTGTTCCCCTCAAAGAATGAGAGTTTAATTGTTGCATAAAACTCTTTAAATATTTATTTGTTGGTTATTTTTTTTGTATAATCCCCGATGTTAATGCTTTACTGACTGTTTTCTCAAAAACAAAAGCTAGCTGCTCTCACCTCCACGGAACCCTGAAGAAATTAATTAAGCTGTCCCATAAGTTTAACATTATTTTTTTACTACTCAAGAATCCATCTCTACTGATATCCGTCGGCTAGCAATGTCGTCTTCCAAAGTTTCAGCTTAGGTTTTCATCATCTTCATTGAATTTATTATTTAGTTATTTCCCTAGTCTGCAAGGGCCGTACACAGAAATAAATCTTGGGGGGCCGGGGGGGGGGGGAGGGCAAATTATGCATACAGTCCAATTACCTTACAAGCACTACTATATGTCTCCTTCAAACAAAACTAGCAGAAAAAAACTAAACTATTATTTATGCTCTTCACTCTTCAGTTTCAGATTTGAATAGTGTTATAGCCCTAAATTCTAGGGGGTCACTGCTCCCTTGCCCCCACCCCTGTGAACGCCCTTGCTAGATAGTATGATTTGCATTGCTTTAACGTTTTAAACAATTCATATCAAGACTAAGCTGCAGTCTTTTCTAATAATAAAAATCATTTCAATTTTTGAATTGTATTTTATGACAACCCAAATAGGAGAACTAGAATGGTCAACATAACCCAACTAGAGAAGCTAGAATGGTCAATATAAACCCAACTAGAAGAGCTAGAATGGTCAATATAAACCCAACTGGAAGAGCTAGAAAGGTCAATATAAACCCAACTGGAAGAGCTAGAATGTTCAATATAAAACCAACTAGAAGAGCTAGAATGGTCAATATAAACCCAACTAGAGGAGCTAGAATGGTCAATATAAACCCAACTAGAAGAGCTAGAAAAGTCAATATAAACCCAACTAGAAGAGCTAGAATGGTCAATATAAACCCAACTAGAGGAGCTAGAATGGTCTATATAAACCCAACTAGAAGAACTAGAAAAGTCAATATAAACCCAACTAGAAGAGCAAGAATGGTCAATATAAACCCAACTAGAAGAGCTATGATGGTGAATATAAACCCAACTAGAAGAACTAGAATGGCCAATATAAACCCAACTAGAAGAGCTAGAACGGTCAATATAATTATAAACCCAACTAGAAGAGCTAGAATGGCCAATATAAACCCAACTAGAAGAGCTAGAATGGTCAATATAAACCCAACTAGAAGAGCTAGAATGGTCAATATAAATGATCTAAGCTAAAATAAAATTCTTGTTGTACAGTGATAACCAGAAAACTTTGAAATAGGAAGACGACTTACGGACTCAAGTTATGACTTGAAGATGGACATCGTCATGGGACACAGCAACTGTGAAGTGTAAACAGACCTATTTCACTTATTAATTGATTTTATCAGTGTCAGTGAAACTATTTGCTTTGAAACAAGATCAAATATACTTATTATTGCTATAAGGTCGTCTTCCGATTTCAGAGTTTTCTGGTTATCACTGTACATTTTTAACGCCTTAGCCTTTAATTTTACGTTTACGTTTAATTTAATTTTACGTTTCACCAATACTACGTTTCACCCAAATTACGATTCACCCAAAATACACCTACTTCAGAGTTTCGCCAAATTTTTTATTCCTCTAACATACATTGCACATGAATTTATTGCCAAATCTCCGATCATAACTCATAAACTCATGGACCGATTTGTCTTAAATTTTGATTGGGGAAATCAGGAGAATCTTGGGAATCTTCTGAAATTCGTTAAAGAATTCTAATTCTGAATGGGTCGACTCATCAGGCGCGCAACTAGACATTTGGTTAGGGGGGGGGGCTAGGGGGAAATTTTTTGGCCCTCCATAAACATTTTTAGGGCAAGAAAAATGTGTGTTATACTTAAACAATAAAAAACTAACCTTACCAACCGGATATTCAGTAAGTCAACATATCTGATATGAAATAAAAAAGAAATCTATTCTGGTATAAATCACAAAAATAATTAATTTACAAATTACATATATATATAAATTTTCATTAGTTATCCAAATCAAATATGTACATTGTACTTAGAAACTGACAAGAAATGGCTTTCATTAAAAATTCATTATTTTACATGAAAAATATTTGTTTTTAATATGACACATCACACAATATTTGCGTTGAACATGTAGGATTAATTTAATAGTTGTACTACAGTATTAAAGCAATATCATAATAAGTGGCAGAACTGATAGTGAAAATATCTAAAAATTACTTAATAAACCCCCTATCCCTTTCCAGGAAAAAACAGTATATTGAAAAAAAACAAAGATTAAGGCACCTTGGAACCTTGTCAACTTGTTATGATATACGGCAGTAGTTAGACTCGGAGACGAAGGGGGTCTGTGGTGCATTAAGTGCTATATCGATTGCAACTAAGCTCAATAAACTAACGTTCAATTATCTTTTTTTTTATTTTACGATAAGAGCTCTTAAATTTGCTCAGGGTCAGGATTCATGAATCGCTAAAATGCAAAACAGGGTGGACTTCGTCACTTCTTGCCATACCCCCTATAGGGGGGGGGGGGGGGCAAGACTTCTTAGTCAAATATATTAATGCATATTGTTGTAAATCCGCAACTTTTGTACTTGAAATCTGCAAACGGTGAAACGTAGTATTGGGTGAAACGTGAATTGGGTGAAACGTTATATTGGGTGAAACGTCATTGGGTAAAACGTTTTGGGTCACGTTATTGGGTGAAATGTTACCACACCGTTTAGAATGTCTTTGTTAAGTTGTTTGATACCAAAGACCAATAAAAAATATTATATGGGAGTCATGTTATATTAAAATTGATTTCAAAGTAAAAGATAATGAAGCAAAATATTTTTTTGACTAAAAATAACAATTTATTAAATGTCATGTTTCGTGGGACATCCTGTATGTCTTAGTTCTCAACCACTCTTACATCTGTCAAAATGCAAAAGTGAAGACCAAGAGATATAATTCGAAGATATTCATTTTTTTATCACAAATTGTGCATTCCTTGTTTTACAGATTATGCATTCATTATTGTGCTGTCTAAATTATTTATTGTGCAGTAAAATGGCTAAAATTCACTTCTGAAATCTTAATTTACGAATTACGTTAATCTATACTTAAGTTAAATACAAATTCTAAATCTGTGTTTGTAAACAAAGGGAGTCCAGTTTCTGTTGTACTGTGCAGTCCATACAGACCAATTTATATAAATATATATATATTATTTTTAAATACTTGGGACATAAAATGTCGTCATCCAACAATGAGTTTGGTCCACTTTAGTATTTAATCACTTTGANTAACTGCAAATTTTCCCCTTTCCATATATTTGAATCCCCCAGGCCCCCCCGCCCCAACTCTAATAAATAAAACCTTTCTTAACAATAACCTTATCACCTGCGATCTCTCGTTCATTTGCCTCTTCTTCAATTATAAATATATTTTACATTTTTTACATTTAAAAATTTCCTCCAAACAGAAAATTCTCGAAATTTTCCTGATTTTTTGATAAAATTTAAAGAAAAGTATATTTATCTCTGAAGCTAAAGATAAACATGGCGTTGAAAGAAACATTGGTTTTGTCATCATCAGCCTAAATACTTGTTTGTGTAATTACATGATGGGACACAAATATATTTACAATACTGTTCCAAACCTCTCCTCCCTACC